TACATACTACATACTACATATTACATACTACATACTACATACTACATACTACAAATACTACATGCTACATACTGCATACTGCTGACGGCTTGCTACTTGCTGCTTGCTACTACTGCTACTACGACGACGACGACGACGAGTACTACTACCACCGCCACCACCACCAACACCAACACCACCACCACGGGCAGGGTCCGAGTCAGCAAAACAAGTCAAAAACATCAGTGGCAGAGTCAGTAAGCAGGCCGGATGCAAGTCATCAACAGCACTGTCGCAGTCAGCAAACGCCAGAGCCACTATCGAAGGCGCCCCAGCCCGAAACAGCAAACACCACGGAAGTGCCATGCGACGGCAGCACCTCTAACGCAACGACATGCTCCTGGAAATGTATTGTCAACTTGCCCGACATTTCAGCGTCACGCTCTTTCCGAGGTTCGGGATATGTGAGGTCACCGGAAGCGCCGCAGCGCGAAGCGGCAAACACCAAGGAAGTGCCCGCACCTCTAACTCTAACGCAACCACATGCTCATGCTCCTGGAAATGTAGTGTAAACTTGCCCGACATTTCAGCCTCAAATATGTCCAATCCATCTCTGAAGACGTACAGACAAAAATGCAAACTAGCGCACAACTACTTGTGGGTGCAAGAGGAGGTATTGCATGGGCGCTTTTGTTTCCTGTTTTCCATGCCCAGCTGCAGCTTACTGATTGGAGCTTCCTAGTTGTTGACTTCCATGGCTGCTTGTTTTTGATTCGAGGCTGCCCCTTTTGCGACAGGCAACTGCTGGTTTTCTGACTCGCTTCGCACAATCCTCCGGCTTTGCTGATACAAGCTACTCTGCCACCACCACCACCACCACCACCACCTTCTTCTTATAATTGTTTTGTTTCTTGTGTTTTTTATTGTTTGCTCCAGGTCAACTGCCATTCCCACTCCACGTTCTCCAGCTGCGCATGCTGCTGCTGTTGCTGAACCTTCTCCTGAACTGCCTCCCTTCCTCCTGCAGCCAGTTGCTAAAACCCCACGCAGCACTTCATGCGTGCAAACGGCAAACGTTTACCAGTACAGTACTGCTGTGACCTATTTCGTGCTGGTGCCTACAAGACCTGCTGCGTCACAGATGTAGAACTAAAACAGCACAAATGAAGGCTTGGGAACTTGGCAAGGCAGTCTTACAAAGCATATGAAAGCCGCAGATACATTGGGAAGTGAGCGAGCGAGTAATTCAGTGAGAAGTTAGCCAAACTTCCAACTAACATGCAGGTGCCCTTTTGGTCGAAGCGCGAAGCTGCGCCCGGCCGACAACCCGCTCCGCATAACCGGCGCCGGTGCCGGTGTGCGCACTTCTGCGTTCGCCCGGCGCACCACTGCCCACAAGGCGCCGGCACTTCTACCACAACGGCAAGATCTAAAAGCCTCTCAGGCGCCCCGTGGCAAGCGAAGCCGGAGTCGATGTCCGGGGCCCCGGGGCGGTCTTGCCCAAGACCGGGAGTTATCCGCCCGGGACAAGGCGACCCTAGAAGTCCGCGTTCCACATCCGGTCGGAGGAGGCCCCAGAATGCAGCCAGAATGTCAATTCACCGACGGAGCCGCAGCCCTTCAGCAGGTCCAGCTAGGTGGGATCCGCCTGGCAAAGGCAAATCGGACCTGGGCGATGATCTCGAGGACATACATAAATGCCCTCCTGGCAGCGAGGAGCTCGGGTTTGACCACGCAGTCGACGTGGTCGCCGAGGAGCAGCACGAACCCCCGGCCTGACCTGGCGAAAAACAACTCGCGGCTTGGCCGTTGCTACCAGCCTGCGCAGCGCCATCAAGGCCGCACGGGAACCCAACGAAAGGAGAGGGCAGCGGCGGTGTTGGCCGCCCTGGAGTATATTGAAGGCAGTCAGACACAGTCAGACCAGCGCAGGCAAAGATGGACTGCGAAATTACATGTCAGTCGCTCCGTGAGGCGGGGGAGCAGGGCGAGTCGGCGACCGCTCGTCCTCGACCCCGTTGAGGTCGTCGGCAAAGTGGCCGAAGACGAGGAGCAGGACCCGGTTAAAGTTCCACACACTCGCGGCTGCGCCGAAGCACACGGCGAAGTGAACCATAAGGTCGCACCCGACTCGGCAGGAAAGTCCCGCAATGCTGGCGATAAGCATTTTGAAGGTCGTGTCCACCTGTGGGGACCACCCCTCGGCCAAGGCTGGGCGAGCCAAGTCGACGAGGTCGCCGAGGAAATGGTGGGCGGGCACGTCGGCCCTCAGAATCTGCTGCATAACCAGAACGGGCTAAGCGCCCCTAATCGGATCAAGTTGTTGAGACCGACAGCAAAGCGCAAAGGTGCATTAACGAGAGCATGCTCAGAAAGCATAGCCTGCTCTGCGAAGCAGGTGAATTCTGACACGAGCTAAATGATCTACAACGTTACATCCACGGCCATGGGGCCATCCTAATCTCTGGGCAAGAGGGCAGGCAGGCTCAAGAGGCCTTCCCACAGCATGCGCTGGACATTCCCATGCCAGATGCACCAAGTTGGCAGTCTGGCATGCGCACACCAAGTACCTTTCTCGTGCACACGCACTGCGCCTTTCGCAGTATAAGGCACGTGCCCCGCAAGCTGCGCAGCGATTATGTCCGAAACAGACCATGTATGGTACTCTGTGCGACGCCGAGATTCACGTAGCCAGTGAGCCCCTGGCGTTTGCTCGGGCTGGTTCCAATTTAAAGTAGCCTGCCGGCCCGCATGAAACCACTGCCAAGGCCCAATTTCCTGCCAGTCGAGGTCTGCAAGAAAGGAGCGCACACGCGCCTGCAAGAGCATGGGACTCGAACGTGACTCCAAGCCTGAAGCCCAGCTCGAACTGCGAGTTCAAGCATTTTGGTAGCCTGATGACCTGCACAAAACCACAGAGAAAACATGTGGACCCTGAGCACTTCTTTCAAAACCGGCGACGCCTGCGAAGTGCGATCTTCCCCAAGCGCCTTCTTAATCATCCTATGCAAAACCTTACCTATGGAAGTAGGGCCGACATCGACGAGCCAAAACGCCCCAGCAGGCTTTTTTGATCACAACCCATCGCAAGAGAAGGTGCTGGATCCTCCAAGAAAGTGCGCAGAGGCAAGTTTAGTCGCTCTACGTTCAGCCTCCTGAAGTCTGTCCTCAGCCGTAGCCCTAACCACACCCGTGGCCTTGCTGACAAAATCAACCCCAAGAACCCTGACGAATCACTAAGAAACCTGGCAGCACCTTCTTCAACGGCTTTCCTGCTTCGCGCAGCACCTTTGCAAAGCAACTTGGTCTTGGCCTCATTTTCTTGGAGACCGATCTCCTTGCATGACACACCTGCAAGGCCACTCTTGCAGACCTGGTCACAAATGTCCGGTCGTCAAGATAGACGGCTGTGACAGGTTGAGGAATACCTGAACTTCGAAGACAAGCCTTCACATTGGCAATAATCCCATGCATCAATGCCAAGAGGGCCACTGAAGACCATACCTCCCCCTGTGGAAGTCTCACACAAGCAACAGTTATGCAATTGCAGCCACCTGTGCTGGTGAAGCCGAGTATGAGAACAAAGCCGTATGACTTGCCTAGGACACCCTAGGGCTAGCAAGGCTTCCAGGCTCAAAACGGGGTCACAGTGATCAAAACCGTCATGAGATCCCTTGAAAACTATGATCCAAAACGGCTATCGCCGAGTGAACTCCGCACCCGCGAAGGCCCCCGTAAGCTTCCTGCGGCCTCCAGGCACTTATTCACTGCTGAATCGGGTCTCTATCATAGACGGCACCTGCCACAAGACGCATCCAAACGCTTTCGGCGGCGATAGGCCGAGCGTCCTTCACGGAGACTGCCTGATCGGAGGCGCGGGGCTTTATGTCAGGTTTGGCTAAGTGCGTTTGGCGCAAGTGCTGCCAGCAAAGAGGGAAGCTCTCCCTTTCAAACCATCTATTGACCAAAATAGCAAAAACTTCAAGGGCCTCGAGAGGAAGAGCTGCAAGCTCCTCCCCCGTCCAGCCGCAAAGACCAGCGACCAATTCTTTGATCTTTGGAATTCTGCCAGCGAGCTCTTCCGCGGTGATCGCTCGCCACGCCGGACCCGCCGGGACCGGCGGAAGATTAGCACTCCAGCTCCTGAAACCATCATTACAGGAACCCTATCCCTATACCAAATTCTACCCCACAAAGTCTTAAGCTTTTTGCAAGGCCGTGAAAGCGCTTTGCGACGTGTCCTCTTCGTTATCATCAGGATCGTACATGTTGCAAGGCATGACTGGGAGAATGGCGCGGGCCTATTTAGCGGCATGGGCCGGATGGCAGCTCAAGTCGTGCCTCCAACGGGCCAAGCGGGCCTTGCAATCGTCTTTGCGAGCAACATCCAACGCGAGAGCGGCTTCGGAGATGTCGTTACTCAAAGTCGCAAGCGACGGGGTGCACCCCAATCGCTGGCCCGAACGGGCGGAAGCTCTGAGCGCCTCGTTTGCTAACTGAGCCCGGTCAGCAGACAGCTGCCGCCGGACCTCCACAAGTTGGCCCACGTACCTTAGCCCACGACAACGCGTGACACGAACCTTGCTTGCATGACACTTGCGAACCAAGTCTAACCCTTGGAAAAGAACCCTTAGGCCGAGGATCCCCAAAACCCTGCTTAGCACCGGCGGCACCACACGAGGTAAAGATCTATGAAGCGAGTTGGTCTTCGGTGTGACTCACAGCAGGCACTTCAACCTCTTTCCAAGCAGCCGCCAGAGCTCGACGCCACTGACGAAGCTCAACGTCGCGCGGGGTGAAATTTGAACTGCAGAGCTGTCGGCACCTGGGAGGCCCCTATCGGCAACACCGTGGTGGCAAAGGGCCGCCTCGGAAGTACTCCTTGGCACTGCGATGACCTCCAGCGTCTCGCCGTGATGGGCATGATGGGCCAGGCCGGCACCTCGCCGTTGTGGGCCAGGATGCACCAGGTCTTCCGCCCGCAGCCTGGGGGCGTATGGTCCCAACAAAGGCGCCAGTTGCAGGCCCGCCAAAGTAGCGTCGGCGCATTGGCTCAGGGCGGCCGCCACCTGGAAGTCGGTGGCAAAGTCTTCCCCGGCCGAGGCGGAGGCGACGGCGACGAAGGAGGCGCCAGCTGAAGCCATGACCAGAACACGGCGAGGCGGAAAAGGCCAGGAGAGAACTGAAAATCAGCTGTCGAGCCGAGATGCTGCCCGGTCGACTGCTGTCGCTTGTTCCTACTCGCACAAGTACGCTACACGACAACGAAGAGGACAGGGAAAAGATGGCGATGACGACGACGAGGATGTTGGTGACGCTGATTGAGCGCACTAGTCACCCCGACCTCGCCATCCTCCGGATCCGGCTCAGGCTCTTCAAGGGTGTCCATCGGCCTGGCACAGCCCAAAGAGAATCTCCAAACCAGCTGTCAAGCCCAATACATCACCATAAGACTTGCCCAGTGCCTCAGATGCCTCGGACTGGCCGGACTGGCGACATCCGGCTGTCCTGAAACAAAGTTCGGGTCTGATGCCACCCACAAGAAACTCATCGCGCACCCAACCATGAAGTCGCAAAGCTCGTAAACTCCGGACCGTGCCGTGCAGCAGAACCTCAATCGTGCAGCTGCCCAAGCAGCCGAGTGCCCAACCCATCGTGGGGGCCGGAGGTGCCAGCACCTGGAACGGACCGAGAAGTTTCAAGAGAAGAAAGGATTTTCTTAGTCTGGCGGCCTGGCCTCTGCTGGCTGCGTGGTGGGCGTGGTGGCCGCATCTCGGTGCAGGGCTCAGGGTTTAGGGATTCGTCCGCGCCCTTTCGCCAGGGCTCTGGATCTCGGTCAAAAAACCCACGGCTGCAGCCCCAGTGCATCCGACATCCCGACCTCGCCCCGGACGAGGCTCTTCAGGACGCGCTGGCCTGAATTCCAGATCACCATTTCAGAGACACCCGACAGTCCCAAATGACAGGCACGTTGCATGATCTACCAGGCAGCGGGGCCAAAGGCTCAGCATTTGGGCCGTTGTGTCACGACAAACAATAGTCTCGCTCTGGGTTCCTGGCTCCGGCAAATCCTGAACGGACTGTACATGAACCTCAGCCACGGTGGATCTCTTTCAGTTTCGAGCCGCGTCGGTCCAGAAGTTGAAATCACGGGGTATGACCTCCCAATACCATAGTTAGTCGATGAGTGATGCTACGTTCTTGAGGTATATCTGCTCACGCAGATAGGCATATCGACCAATGAATACTGGCCCATTTCTGCAAACAAACGCTTCATTGACAAGTTAGCTTCTGCACGACGCGCCCTGCATCTTTGTCATCTCATCGGTTCACCTCAAGCCCCGCATCATTCTCACGCCCTGAAATCATGGCCCTGGCTGGCTCCGGCTCTGTTGGCGGCAGCCTGTGTCCAAGCAACATCCAAGAAGACATGAAGCGAATATTAGCAATATTAGTATATTATAAATAAATATATATATATATATATATATATTTATTTATTTATTTATTTATATTTATATTTATTTATTTATATGTATGTATGCATTTATATATACATACATACATAAAGTAAAGGCACACAGGTTCTCCGAGTTCTGTCCGACTTGGCTGAAGCTGACGGAATCGGCTCGAGCCTCGGGACTTCTGGCGCCCCACCTGCTCAGGCAAAATCTCAAGGCTCTGGCAGGAAACCCCCAGGCACCGAAAAATGCTAAACTCAAACCCTAAAAACCCTAAGCCCTAAGCCCTAAACCCTAAGCCCCAAGCCCTAAACCCTAAGCCCTAAACCCTTAGCCCTAAACCCTCAACCCCCCCTCCCCCCCCGCGAGAGAGAACTCGAGGACCTCCGGTCGACTCTGCGGGCTGCTCGGGCCTAGGCCCAGGCAGGTCTTGGGATTTTGGGCTTAGAGCTCCTTTAGACCTTTGCCAAGCATGAATGGAGTAAGCTGGAGGAAAGTCGAGGCAGTAAGCAACGGCAACACAAAGCAGGGGTCGGCCCACTGTCCGTCTCCCACCCCTCCAGTACAAGTAGCTGCGCCCGGTAAGCAGAACATCTGCTCCATGTTCCAGGGAGAGGTTTGTAGGATGTGCCCAACAAAAACTGCGTGATTGCCTTGTGTGGATGCTGTGCAGGTGAGTGGGGTGGTGTGAGAGATCGCACTGCCTGGTTCTGACATGAACCGTCCACGAATGCTTAACGGGTCTTAGCGGGGAGAACACTTCGATCCCGTGAAGGTCAGACTTCATGTCGTTTGCAGTCCATGAGCCAAGACTGCAGATTCCAAGCTTCCATTACAGTGTGAGGCCTCTTTGCTGCCAGACCCACGAACCCATGATATCACCGTGCAGTGCACGGCATGAGGTTTCGGATCAAATCCCATGACTTATGTGTCGCGGCATGGCGTTGCATGACATGATACCGAAGTATGTACACATGCATGCCGTGCTTTTGTTAAAACTGATCTGAAGTGCATGTCCCATGCTGTGCTGTGCAGTGCAACATCGTGCCACACTAAAAAAGCTTTCTGCTGCAAGTTGTTTTCGTCGCGAGGTACCACTACGTCAGGTGACACTGCTGCAATATGTAATGTGTCATGTGATGGTACGGTCCGGTCCATCGTGGTTCATCTTGCTGCCATGCGAGAACGGCTACCTGCTCATACGACGGTGCGCTGCGCATCGTGGCTTAACTACCTCGATAAGATGCATGTGGGCAGGAAGTTATACAAGACAAGATTTGGCCCCGAGCCAGGGAATGGAAGGTAGCAATGTTTTGCTTAGCTCCAGGCGGCTTCGGTACATCTTCATGCACCGCCGGCACTGCAGGCGCAGTGCCTACAGCCAGGCCGGGGTCCCAGTCTCCCGCGGGTCATGTAAGAGAATCACTGCTGGGGTCCGGCCGAAAAGACTTTCGGTGCAAGTTCCGTGTTGCGCATCAGGTTTCTGTCTGTGCCAGTTTTTGGATCTGTACTTCAACTGGCCGCTCTCGAAAGAGCTCATGCAGGTTTGCCGAATGAAACAGCTTAGTCGACCTCCTCCATCTTGGAAGCCTCGTCGGCCGCGCCCTCGACTTCCTCCAGCGGGGGGAGGTCGTCGTCATCGCCGAGACCCTCGTCATCATCATCGATGCTGAGACCGAGCTTGATCATTCG